TGGCTCACGCCTATAATCCCAGCACTTTGGGAGGCCAAGGCGGGTGGATCTGTACAAGGTCAGGAGTTCAAGACCAGCCTGGCCAATATGGTGAAATCCCATCTCTACTAAAAATACAAAACTTAGCCGGGTGTGGTGGTAGGTGACTGTAGTCCCAGCTACTCAGGAGGCTGAGGCAGGAGAATTGCTTGAACCCAGGAGGCAGTGATTGCAGTGAGCCAAGATTGTGCCACTGCACTCCAGCCTGGGTGACAGAGCAAGACTCCATCTCAAAAAAAGAAGAAAAAAAAAAAAAAAGAAAGAAAGAAATCCACCAAACACCGTGGTTGTGTTCAAGGTACCAGAACTGTGGTTGCTGACACAGCTTGGCTGATACTGATGTCAATGTGATGTGGACGCACTCACTATTATTGTGTCGTCAAACTGGACTTTCCACTCCAGAGATTTAACTGATCTTCCACAAGACAGGAAAACGCCTTCAGGCGAACATGACCCATATCAAGACCCCAGTGCAGGGATGACCTGGCTTGTCTGCCACAGAGGCCCATTTGTGCCATCTTTCTCTCTGACATGCAATTACACCCTCCTTTTTCCCTGGTTCCTTGAACAGAAGAGCCACTTTCCAAGGATTTTGCAAAGCCTAGAGAGGTTGCAACATTTGTGTGAGGCATTATCTCACATTCAGATCATTGCTGGCTGCAAAATAAATACAGCACACCAATGGCTCTCCTGGAAGCTTAAGTTTTTTTTAGCAATATGTGGCCTAGGTCTCTCTAACCCTGGGATAAACAGAATGGCTTACTTTCTGTAGGTTTTAAGGCACAGAGCCAGACCAGACGGTGAGGCAGTCATCCCTTAGTTCAGTTCTTTACAGTTTTACTGCTATGGGACACATTGGGGGCCCAATATAGAGCAAAGCTGGAAGTAGGGATGACCCATGTGTTTGTGGGGGTGGGATACGGACAGGGAAATAGTGTTCCAACTCCATGCTCAGTGTTGTTTCGAACTGTAACATGAAATTGCTGCCATCAGGGCTGTGACTGTGTGCGATGTGTCACCGTTGCAGGCTAGTAGCTTCGCAGTGGGAAAAAGGTAACAGGGCCACTTGTCCAGGGCATTCAGATAATAAAGTCCCTGAGCATCAAGTTGCTAGACCGAAGGAAGTATTTTTTCCTTCGTGTCAAAAATGAGGTGTGAGTACTGTCATCAGGCAGTAGGATTAAATGATAGTACCTCTGCCATTTTTGAAAAACAGTGGAATATACTTTCCCAGATGCTGAAAACACATGGGGGAATGGCTCTATTGCACTTAAAAAGTGAAATATATTTATAATAGATCTCCAGTGTATTTCTTGAATATGTCAACATGACATAGTAAATAGAGCTTGCCTGAATCCATGAAACTTAATGTACTCAGAGCCTAAAAGAATGTCATATTCTAAAATTGCAGTGTTCTGTTCTGACACTATTGTAATTCATTTTAGAATGTATTCAGTTTTATTTTAGAGAAGAATCACTTGCATTTTAAGAAAAGGAGATAAATATTTGATGAAACTGGCAAGTTTTTAACAGGATCTTCCAAAGTTATGCTGTTGCACTTTTAAATTCAGATTTTTTAAATCAGCACCAAGTTTTGCAAGTAAGTTCTGTCAGGATTGTTACCCACAGTAGCCACGTCCCCAGTCCACCTCTTCCAGCGCCGCCCACCTCCCTCATCCCTTTCCTACTCCCGGAGGTACTCCCCAACTCTTGATGGATTATGACTGCAATAAACGCTGACGGCTGAGCCCTGATTCCCTTCCTTTCTCAAACAGCTGTAGTTTTTCCTGGACTTAATAATTGTCTCAATTATCATTTTTCTTAGCCTTCTCTGTACTTAACACTAAGTTATTCCCACACTTTCCTTTCGTGGTATAAATCTCAGGTATTCAAGCACATTAGGTAGCTGGCATCTCTCGGAGCCTTTTTCTCCCTGCTCCGGGGAAGATCAGCTGACCTGTGGGCCTATCGCAGCCTTCACCTCCGCCCCAGACGTTCCCCTGGCTTTTGTCTTGTGCTTCACCCGTGCCTTTCTGTTTTCCGCTCCACGACTCACTTGCATTCGCAGAGCAACCCCACCAATAGCCTCTTGAAAAAGTATGCATGGGAGGTAAAACTTAAGACCTTGAATATTGAAAAAGTACTTTCCTTTTCTTGTTTTTTTTTTTTTTTCTGAGCGGAGTCTCGTTCTGTCACCCAGGCTGGAGTGCAGTGGTGTGATCTCGGCTTACTGCAACCTCACCTCCTGGGTTCAAGCAGTTATCATGCCTCAGCCTCCCAAGTAGCTGGGATTACAGGCACCTGCCACTATGCCCTGCTAATTTTTGTATTTTAGTGGAGACGGGGTTTCACCATGTTGGCCACGCTGGTCTTGAACTCCTGACCTCAGCCTCCCAAAGTGCTAGGATTACAGGCGTGAGCCACCATGCCTAGCCGAAAATATTTTTCTTTTAAACACACTGGAGTAATAGTTTGGTTTAGAGTTCTAGAATAGAAATATCTTCATTTGAAACTTACTGCTCCTTGTCTTCTAGCTTTCAGTGCTATTGAGAAACCTGAGGCTGGAAGCTCATAGGACCGTCTCTCCGTCCCCAGTGGTGTTCAGTGACGTGCCCTGATAGGGCTTTTCTTGTGCACTGCACCACCTCCCCAGATGGGCCCTTTCAGTCCTGAAACTGGTATCTTTCAGTCTGAGATTTACGCTGTCCCCTTTTCTGGAACTCCTGTTATTTGGATGTTGGACTTTTGTTTCTTTAACTGTTCTCCTGTGCTGTATTTGCATGCCTTCTGCTCTGTCTCCATGTCTCAGGCTTCCCTAAACTTATCTAATTGTTAACTTGTGAATTTTCCTTTCTGCTTTCATCTTTTTAATTCTTAGAAATTTTTTGTTCTGTGAATGCCTTCTTTTTTTTTTTTTGAGGCAGAGTTTCACTCTTGTTGCCCAGACTAGAGTGGAATGGAGTGATCTCGGCCCACAACCTCCACCGCCTCCACCCCCGGCCCGGTTCAAGCAATTGTCCTACCTCAGCCTCCCAAGTAGCTGGGATTACAGAAGGTGCCACCATGCCCAGCTAATTTTTCATTTTTTGTAGAGACGGGGTTTCACCATGTTGGCCAGGCTAGTCTCAAACTCCTGACTTCAGGTGATCCACCTGCCTCAGCCTCCCAAAGTGCTGGGATTACAGGCGTGAGCCACTGCACCCAGAGTGAATGTCTTCTTTATAACATTCTCCTTCTGTTCTTGTTTCATGGGTGTAGTTCTTCTCCCATTTCTCTGGGAATATCAGTGGAGAAAAGTTTTCCTTTTCACCCCCCACCCCCCACCAACCATATTGTCTTTGTTTCCTCTTAAATTGTAGCTTTTTCTTGAACTCCTGACCTCAGGTGATCCTCCTGCCTTGGCCTCCAAAGTGCTTGGATTACAGGTGTGAGCCACCACGCCCGGCCAGCTTTTTCTTTTGTTTTGAACTCCTCACATTGGAGGACTTTGTCAAAGTCTGATTTTCCGTGGTTGGCTGCTCATTTTGATAAGTGGGGCACTAGTTACTAGTTGTAGTAACTCTGCCTTCTACCCCCAAGCCCACCCCATTATACCTTATCCAGATACTATTAGTTAATTGGAAGCAGTGTGCACCAGAATGAGATTTATCACCTGCGAGGGCCTCACTGATGGCTGGTCGAGTGAAGCCGCTTCACTGGGAGACACTAATTTTCAGGAACTTTACGTCTTTTCTCCTGGGCTGGTCAGACTCCTTAGAGACCATTTCTGGTCTCCTGCCTGGGAAGAACTCAACTAGTTTCCTATGTTCTGGGAGCATAGAAGAGGGAGGAAGCCAGAACATGCAAATGTCATCTTTCTCTTAATTCCCATTTTCCGTGTACAGATGGAGTATTCCCAATCCAAAAATCGGAAATCCAGAATGCTCCAAAATCTGAAACTTTTGATCGCTGACATGACTGTCAAAGTAAATGTTTATGGGAGCATTCTGGGCTTCGTATTTCGGGATTAGGGATGCTTAACCTATAAGTATAATACAAATATTTTAAAATCTGAAAAATTCAGAGTCCAAAACACTGTGGTCCCAAGCATTTCAGATAAGGGTTACTCAACCTGTAGTAACTCTGCCCTCAGCCATGCCAGGTACCCTGCTGTTTTACCTCATCCAGAGACTCAACTCCTGTGTCCTGTCAAATTCGGGGAGATGTCATCACCAGCTGCACAGCGGGAGCTGTGGATGGATTGCTTCCAGCCAACCCGCTTTGGACCCTGCCTTCACCCCATCTCCGGAAGGACCTGTGTTACACTTTCTGATCTCTGGGGAAGGGAGGTGGGGGGAGAGCTCCCCTTTCCCCCTCAAGTTCAAGATTTCCTTTTCCTGCATTCATTACATCAGTTTACCAGCTGCCCATCTGCATTCCAGAGTCCCACATTCTGTTGCTGTCTCATCTCTTAACTAGACCTTGAAAGGTTCGTAGGCTGATCCTTACTCTAAATATTAATATTTCCATTTTCATTATGTGTGCTGATTCTGTGTGGTCTGTACACATCCAAGTACTTTCAGGTCATTTTTTATTATTTGTTAAAGCTGTAAAAATTATATGAATAAACTTGTCCACCCGGCACTGACTGAGCTGTGTGGCACTCTCCTTAAGCCTTGCCCCACAGCACACTGGTTCTGAACGGGCCTGCTCACCCATTCAGAAATGACCCACTCTTGGGGGAGCCACATCTGCCCTGCTGTGGGTGTCTCCTGGGGGCAGCCATGGCACATGGACCAGGGCCTCTGTGGTCAGGAGAGGGCCAAGCAAGGAGGTGGCAGCTCTGGGACCAGCATGCCTGCCACCCAGTCAGGCCGCCTGTCCCTCTTGCAGCTCTCCCGGGATTGTGCCATACATGACTGGCTCATTTCACTCACTTACACCTTTTCCTCACAACCCTATTCAATGTCTTTCTCCCCCAGCTCTGTTTCGTGATGTTTTGGACACCCAACGTGTCCGAGAAAATCTTGATAGACATCATCGGAGTGGACTTTGCCTTTGCAGAACTCTGTGTTGTTCCTTTGAGGATCTTCTCCTTCTTCCCAGTTCCAGGTAAAGAAAAACAGAACGAAAGAAACATTCCTGTTTATCCTCATGCCTCATTAAATCTTTCTTCTGAAATATTTGCAATCGTGTCACCAACACAAATGTAAAATTTCACTGTGGCTTACAAAGATGCAAAGACATTAGCCAGTATGTTAAAAGTTCAAGAAGTATACCAAACAGGTATAACTTGTTTTTATTTTATTTATTTTGGGATGGAGTCTCACTCTGTCACCCAGACTGGAATGCAGTGGTACAATCTCAGCTCACTGCGACCTCTGCCTCCCGGGTTCAAGCGATTCTCCTGTTCAACCTCCACAGGTACCCACGCCCACACCCAGCTAATTTTTGTATTTTTAGTAGAGACAAGGTTTCATTATGTTGTCCAGGCTGGTCTCGAACTCCTGGCCTCAAGTGATCCGCCCACCTTTGTCTCCCAAAGTGCTGGGATTACGGGCCTGAGCCTGGCTGTATAACTTGTTTTTAAAAGTGCAGTGATTGCAAAAATAGTGAAGAAAGTAGACCCAAAATTGCCCTCTGTCTTGATTGTGGTGGTGGTAGTACACAAATGGGTTCATGTATTAAAATTCTCACAACTATGCACCAAAAAGCCAGTTTTACAGTACATTAATTTCAGCGGTGAAATCAAAAAAAGAAAAATAGAGTGAGCTTATTGCTAAGGCCTGGAGCTATACAAAGGGAAGGACTGCTGGAGAAAGGGAGACTCCAGGACAACTGGAAGCCAGATGATGGATGGCCAGAAAGGAACCGCCCATGGCTGAGACAAGAGCCAGCTGGAAAGTTATTACACCAAGCTGATACAGTGGTATGAGGTATACCCTACAAGAATGAGGTCGTTCTAGGTTAAATGAGAAAAGCAGGTTGCAGAATGGTTGATTAGTATGCAACCATTTCCATAACAAATATGTAGCACGTGTATGTCTGTATCATCATATGGATGTGCTAAGTGCTTGCATAGCTACATTCTTTTTCTATAAGTAACTCAGCAAGCTGCTAACAGTGGTTGCCTGTGGGAAGCAGGCCAAGGGCCTGGGAAGTCAGCACTGGGAAGAAGGCCTTTATACTCTATTCCCTTGTGTACCTTTTAAATTCTGTACCAAGTGTATCACCTAGCCAAAAATCATTTTCCCAAAAAGATCCACCTAAATCATTAAACTGGGAAGCCAGAATCTACAAAGCCACAATGAGTTTAAGAAAGGAGCCATGGGCTAGGAAACACTTTGGGAGGCCAAGGCAGTTGGATCACCTGAGGTCAGGAGTTCAAGACCAGCCTGACCAATATGGTGAAACCCCGTCTCTATGAAATACAAAAACTTAACCATGTGTGGAGGTGCATACCTGTAATCCCAGCTACCTGGGAGGCTGAGGCAGGAATTGCTTGAACCCAGGAGGCAGAGGTTGCAGTGAGCCAAAATCATGCCACTGCACTCCACTCTGGGGGACAGAGCAAGATGCTGTTTAAAAAAAAAAAGAAAGAAAGAAAGAAAAGAAAGAGAGGAGCCATGGAGCCCAGGTAGGCCAGGGCTGATGGGGTGGCCCTTGCTCTTAGGCCTCGCAGCATCACTTTCTGGACTGTGACAGAAATGGAGAAATGGCTGGAAGATCACAGCACCAGGATGGCATCTGGACTTTGTTGGGTAGACACAGGGTGAACCAAGCTCTGGAAGGTGGCACCATCTAGAAGAAGCTGCACTCGCAGATTGAGACACATGCAGTTAATTTCCTACGGCTGTGACCAGAGGAGGGGCCTGGAGTGCCCAGCTGGGAGCAGGTTGTAGCTGGGTATGCAGTTTGCCTTTAATCTCCATTGGACTCCACTTCCTTGCCTGTAAGATGAAGGGCTTCAGACAGCTGCCAGGCCCTGCCACTCTTTGCAATCTGTTGGATTTGGACTAGCCCGGTTAGCAGACACCTGGGACCCTGACTCTCTCCTTTGGTCAGAAACCTCAGTGGGTCTGTCTGTCTGCCTAAGAGAAGAAAATGAGCCTCATTAAAATTAATACAAGGCTTCTACCAGGGGGAAGACAGGACACACTGTTAGACCAAGAAGATGACACAGGCTTCCTTCCAAACCAGCATATCCTGGAAAGGAGTTTTTATCCCAGGAAGGAGTATTTTCTCCTCCAAGAGCCTTTGCCTGGTGCTGTCCACAGGGAGGTCAGGCCCTGCCCTGCGCTTTCTCAAGCCTTTCCAGTTTCAGATGAAATCTAGTTGCTCAGGGCCTTCTTACTGACAAGGGCCAGCCCCGTGCTCTCCACAGTTCCCCGCTGGCTGCCCATGGCCCTCCTGCATCTCAGAGATCCAGTGAGGAGGCAGGGCATGGGGAAGCCATGAGGCCCGTTGTAAGATGGCAGCATGCCAGAGGAGGGGCCACACCATTAGGAGAGGGACCAAGAGAAGGGTGGAAGTGGTCAGGACCAGCCCAGGGAAGGCACAGAGGTAAGTGGGGACATGCAGTTTCCTCCTCCTACCCATCACTCTGTCCATGTGCTTTTGACCACAGGCAGGGAAGATGGCTTCTGGTGCCAGCTTTTCTGCTCACCCGGCATCACACTAGAGGCTCGTCATCACACTAGAGGCTCGTCACGTTGCCACTTTTGTCTGAGTGTTCTCTTCTAGGGGTGGATGATCAGAGAGTGAGGCTGGGCGGGCGTAGGGACAGGATTAGACAGGAGCAGCCAGGCTGCCTGGAAGACGCCGTCCCAGTGGAGCAAGGAGCCTGCCTGCCCCCAGCAGTCTAGACCCAAAGGGCTGTGAGGAGGCAGGCCCAGGGGCTGGGCCCAGGTTCAGGAGCAGGGATTGGGAACCCTAGCAGGAAGATGAGGTGGCCAGGGCCTCAGCAGCAAAGCCAGGGTCCCAGGCAGCCCCTGGCTCTCCAACGTGCTGCGCTGGGCCAGAGGCAGCAGGATGGGGCGGGGATGCGGGCACGGCTAATGAATCCTCTGCTCCCCTACAGTCACGGTGAGAGCGCATCTTACCGGGTGGCTGATGACGCTGAAGAAAACTTTCGTCCTGGCCCCCAGCTCTGTGCTGCGGATCATCGTCCTCATCGCCAGCCTCGTGGTCCTGCCCTACCTGGGGTATGTGGTCAGGGAGTTTGGGGCTATGGGTCCTTCTGCCACTTAAATACTGTGTCCAGAGATCTAAGATCTACATTTCCATGGGAAATCCCCAGGCATGTCTAGATCAGAAATTCAGAATGATGTCTGCCTAGGCATCAGGTGGAGCCTCTTGGGATCCCTTCCAGAAAGTGCTTTTGGGGTCAGGCCCAGACACAAGTAATAGCCACTGAGCTCCTGTTGGGGCATGGCCTGTCCTGCACGGGTGCTAGCATCTGCTGGATGTGACAACCAAAAGAGAGGAAGGACATGGTCCCTGCGCTCGTGGAGCTCCCAGTGTCCTGGGGAGGGTGGGAAGTGCTGTGGGATCCATGTGCAGTTGTGGGGAGGCAGCCTAGCCCTGAGTTCCTAGTTCCCCTCACACATTATGTTGTTAGCCGCCGCCCTTATGAAGCCAGCCAATGGACAACGCTGCTGGTCTCGGCTGTCTCTAGGCTACACTTATTTTCCTGGGTTTTGGCATTGACAGTTGTGCCTTGACTTGGCCTGAACAGACAAATCGCCTTTGTGTTCTCATCTGCAGGGTGCATGGTGCCACCCTGGGCGTGGGCTCCCTCCTGGCGGGCTTTGTGGGAGAATCCACCATGGTCGCCATCGCCGCATGCTATGTCTATCGGAAACAGGTGAGTGAGACAGTCGTGCCAGGAGCCAGGAGTGTCCTCCCGGGTGCAAGAGGGCCGGTGCAGCCACTGACCAGGGTTGGATGGTGGCGCTCATCAGTGGGGGATCCTTAGTGACCTTCCCTAGTCTCGTGGCTTAGGGCAGCTGGAAGCCTAATGGGAGTGGGGTAAGAGAAAAGGGGAAAAGTTACTGAAGGCAGTGAGTAGAGACAGTCCCTTTCAAGACTTTTGCTCCAAAGGAGAGAGAGGTGTGGACGTGGATTTCAGAAGGCCAGTGAAGATGGGGTGAGGTTTGGCCTGTGGCTTGCTTCAGGGAATGACCTGCAGAAGGGCAATGCTGCCAATGGGGGAGGGGACAGTGGGACCAACGTGGCTGTGTACACAAGGACTGGGCAGCCCAAGATAGGAGCTCAGGCGGCATCTCTGGTCACACCGAAGCAGAGATGCAGTTGGAGAGCTTGTGCCAGTGCCTTTCTGATTGCTTATTTATCTCAGTGAAGTAGGAAGCCAGATCATCATCTGAGAAAAGGGAGGTGTTAGAGGGTGGAAGAGCGAGGACACGAGTGGGGAAACAGCTGGTCAGGAGAGTGGCCGAGTGAACTGGCCAGGACAGCAGGGTGACGGCCAGGCCTCTCAGAGAGCCTGCTTGTGGTATGTGATATACATCCTAGGACACTGGCTGGCCCCTGCTGTTGGGCTCCCCCAGCCGTTGCAGCTGAGTGTTACGGGCTGAGATGGTAACAATCTGAACCGCAGCACAGCTGGGGCTTTGCCTGGCAAATATAATGAAAGAAAAACAGGGTAGGGAAATGATGGTCATTACAGACCATGTCATGTAAGCTGATGCGGGAGGGAGAGGACACTGAAAAGGTGGACACAGTGAAGGGATGATAGGATCCGTGGATGGGGGACTAGCGGGGTTGGCAGACAGAGGACAGTGTCCTTGCCTTGGCCTGTTGGTAGTGCCAAACATGTCCATAATGGCAAGGTCTGTGGTGAACCAGGAGTGGCTGAGGTGGGCTGGGGCTGAGAGCCTGATCCCTGAGAGGCCATCTATTGTAAGGACAGGCAACATGGCAGGGACGTGACCAGGAATTAGGACAGTGAGTGGGAGAGAATGACAGCAGGCCTGGAGCTATCCCAGAGGTGACTGAGGATGCTGTACAAGGTAGAATATTCTGATAACGTGAGATTCCAAGCTTGAGTCTTTAGGGAGGAAGAAGGGAAAGCAGTCTGCAGGTGACCGTGAGGAGTTGGGGAGAGCACAGCCCCTACTGGAAAGGGCAGCAGGGGGTGGGTTATCTGGGGCAGGGTGGTGGGACATGGTGTCCTCTGAAGTGCCTGCCTAGCTCAGCGCCAGGCGCACAGCAGGCACACAGACAACCAAACTGCAAGGAACACGCTGAACTAAGATGCAAAAGAGATGAGGCCACCCCAAGCATAAGAAGGTTTAAGCTGGCAGCGAGGGGGTCCCCTGAGACCCCAGTGGTGTCTCCCTGCTGGTGGTTCTGCTGTGCAGTGTCCCCGTCCACAGCCCCACACTGATGAGTCTTCTTTGGTGTAGAAAAAGAAGATGGAGAACGAGTCGGCCACAGAGGGGGAGGACTCCGCTATGACGGACATGCCTCCGACAGAGGAGGTGACAGACATCGTGGAGATGAGAGAGGAGAATGAATAAGGCACGGGACACCATGGGCCCTGCAGGGACAGTCAGGATGTCACTTCAGCATCATCTCTTCCCTCTCCCATCGTGTTTTGTTCCTTAATATATTTTTTTTTTTGGTAATGAAAGAGGCCTTGATTTAAAGGTTTCGTGTCAATTCTCTAGCATACTGGGTATGCTCACACTGACGGGGGGACCTAGTGGATGGTCTTTACTGTTGCTATGTAAAATCAAACGAAACAACTGACTTCGTGCCCTGCTTCACGAAAACCCAAAAGACACAGCTGCCTCATGGTCGCCATTGTGTCCTCCTCCCCTGGACAATCTCCTCTTGGAACCAAAGGACTGCGGCTGTGCCAGCGCCTCTCGGTCACCCCGCACAGCAGGCCACAGACTCTCTCCTGTCCCCTTCCATCACTCTTAAGAATCAACAGGTTAAAGCTCGGCTTCCTTTGATTTGCTTCCCAGTTACATGGCTGTACAAAGAGATGGAGCCCCAGTGGCCTCTTAAATTTCCCTTCCGCCTCAGAGTTCGAAACCATCCACTCCACACGTGCAGGAGGAGGGCAGCAGGCTGCAGCCCGGAGTTACCGTTCACACTGAGGAATGGAGACCTGTGACCACACCTGGCTGACGGATGGGTATCATCTCCTGTAGAAAGGTTTGAAATGGCACGGGGGCAGCAAACTGACACAGCTGAACGATAGCATTTCCCTTTGCATTTTCCTAGATCTGAGCGAGCTGTCAGTTCTCACCCCCACTGTGTATATACATGAGCTAACTTTAAGTTGTCACAAAAGCGCATCTCCAGATTCCAGCCCCTGCCGCATGACTTTTCCTGAAGGCTTGCTTTTCCCTTGCCTGTCCTGAAGGTCGCACTAGAGCGTGTCACATGGAGCGTTCTAACTTTGCATTTTAGTTTTTACAGTGAACTGAAGCTTTAACTTTAATCCAGCATTCTAATGCCAGGTTGCTGTAGGGTAACTTTTGAAGTAGACGTATTACCTGGTTCTGCCATCCTTCGTCATAACTATGCGGTACAGGTAATTCAGAATGTACTACCGTACTTCCCTCCCACACCATATGATAAAGCAAGACATTTTATAATGGTACCAGAGTCACTATGTGATCCTCCCTGAAATGATGCATTTGAAATCCATGTAGTGCAGTATATTTTTCTAAGTTTGGAAGCAGGTTTTTTCCTTTAAAAAATTATAGACACAGTTCACTAAATTGTTTAGTCAAAATTCCTAAACTGAAAGAAACTAAACAAAAAAATATTTTAAAGATATAAATATATGCTGTATATGTTATGTAATTTATTTTAGGCTATAATACATTTCCTATTTTCGCATTTTCAATAAAATGTCTCTAATACAATACGGTGATTGCTTGTGTGCTCAACATACCTGCAGTTGAAACGTATTGTATCAATGAACACTGTACCTTATTTGCAACAGTTGTATAAAGCCAATCATTTGCATCTGAATGTAAGGCTTGGTAAATGACAGAACTATTTTTCATTATGGGTAGCTGGGGAATAAATGCATCACTGGAATGGGAACAGAAGTGTAAGCTGGAAGGGCAAAAATTGGAAAGAAAGAAAAACGCAGGCCTTTTGTGTCTACCGTTTTCAGTGCTGTGTGATCATAACTGTTCCTCATAGAAAAAAGAATGCAAGGGCATAAAGTTAGCTGTGAGCATCCCAGAGTTGCATTCAAGTTCCTGGGTACCCAGATGATGCCGATGGGGTGTGCCCACATGGGGACATGTCCTTGGCGTGCTTCCTCAGAGTGGCTTTTACTCCATTAATATATACGCAGTGCTGAAAAATTAAGATGCATACCTGCTTTGCAATGGTTTCAGAGGCAGATCTGAGAAGATGAAAAAAACATCTAAATGTATCAGCTTTTTTAAAAGATATTACTAGAAAATTAAACAGCAGTATTTTTTAACATGTTTGACTCTTTCATGCTTCTGGGGTTGGAGCTTAAAGATACAAATTGAGAAAGGAGGCTGGGCATGTGGTTCATGCTTGTAATCCCAGCACTTTGGGAGGCCGAGGAGAATGGATCACTTGAGGTCAGGAGTTCAAGACCAGCCTGGCCAACATGGTGAAACCCTGTCTCTACTAAAAATATAAAAATCAGCTGGACGTGGCTGGCAGGCGCCTGTAATCCCAGCTACTCAGGAGGCTGAGGCAGGAGAATCGCTTGAACCCAGGGCAGAGGTTGCAATGAGCCGAGATGGTGCCACTGCACTCCAGCCTGGGCGGCAAAAGCAAAACTCTTGTCACAAAAAAAAAAAAAAGAAAAAAAAAAGAAAGAAAGCAAATCCTTTCCCTCTAAATCAAGGAAGGATCAGCAAGGGCCTCTTCGTTATGTGACAAGGACATGCAACTCCAGAGACCCCTTCAGTGATCAAGATCAGTGGGCTGCAATATTTGGTTAGAGTTTCTGAGAACACAGGAAGCAATGCCACACTCAGGCCACCACAGTGGAGCTGATTTTGCAGGACTTGTTCAAACCTTTCACCTTAAAGCACAAGATCCTTCATATATTTTCTTCACGTGGGCTGCTTAAGCCACAGCCTAACAACTTCTGAAACAAAACTGAGAATTAGAATATTCCCCTGCATTTGTTTGTTCTAACCGGGTCCCATCATCCAGCTAGACATGAGCTCAAACCAGGGAAGGGGAACTTTCTCCTTCCCACTTTTCAGAGTCATTAGGAGCAACCTTTTGACTTTTGGAACCAAAGAAACAGTCCCCCAAAACGTTTATTTTTCACTGCAGGGCGTTCAGCTGACAGCTGCTGTTTAAAAGGGCACCATGCCTGTCAGATTCTCATGTCAAAGACCATGGAAAGACCAGATGTGACTTTCTCAAAATGGGGTGATTGCTTGTGGACAAATACAATCTAAAAATACAGGAGTACAAAGCAGTTTTTCATTCAGATGCTGAGAAATAGGTTTGGACAGCTCAAAGCATAGAAAATAGAGTGTAAGGGTTTTCTCTGAGTAAGCCAAGGCTAGAGCTCCCCCTTTGGTGGCCTCTGTTTATTTGAGGGGCATAAGGGAGGTCATTCTCAATGTGCAGTAGCCATTTGTTCTGTACTGACTTACAGGGATCTCAGTGGCAAAGGGCGTCAGTGACACTCAACTAAGCAAAAAACTAGACGAGGCTTGCACTCGGAAAGTCATGGTGGGATTGGACTGGCCAGCCACGTGACTCAGGGAGTATTGAGGGATTTGCACATTGGCAGGAAACCCTCCCCTATTTGGGATTCTTTAATTGGGGCATGGAAGGCCACTTGTTTGCATTTCTGGGTAAAAAAGTCATGCCCCATGACTGCCTGCATTGGGTGTGTCTTGTGCCAAAGTTACCGTTCCCTTATTTTTGTTTTGCTTGATTTTTAGCATTAGCTGGTAGTCTGGCTTCGAAATGTCCTGAATAGCCGATTCCCTAAGAAACTGAAACATTTAATATTGGTTTAGGATGTGTCAGATAGGGCCAAGTAAAGCTTCTTTTCAGATAGGGCCAAGTAAAGCTTCTTTACAATAGTAAAAGCACTTTATACTTCACTCTCTGAGTCTTCCCAATATAACCTTGGGAGGTGCAGGGGGCTACAGGGTCCAGGATGGGGAGACCTGGCAGCTCCCAGGGTAGTGACAGAGCTGGGCCGAGTTCTCCAGACGCCAGGGTGCATCGCAGCGGGGCCAGCTCAGGAGTGCTCACTCCCAGCCCTCCTAATCTCTCACGTTGGGCTAAACATTACATATCACAACTGTCAGAAAATTTATTCACTTATATCTTCAGAATAAGAAGTATGAAATGTTAACAGCTCCTTGATCTCTTGTTCCCCATTTGGGGATCTTCTGGAGCGAAGGAGCATGGGGAGAGTAACTTTTCTATACCCTTGGTTTCTAGAAACACATCAATATCAAGACTCAGTAGCTGACTGGATTTTTTTTCCTTCAAATTGAAGTGGGAGGGAGGGTGTGTGTGTGTGTGTGTGTGTGTGTGTGTGTGTGTGTGTGTGTGTG